TAAAAGTTGTTTTAGATCACAAATGTATTTACACCGAATTTGAATATTTTAACTTTTTAGCATTTTAAAGTAAATTAGTTACCAGTCGTGAAGTGAACTTTCGCAGAAGTGAACAACTTGTGTTTCGCGCGCTCATATGACCTTAGCAGTTGCGAGCGCCGTAAAACCTTATACTACTACTACTAGAATCCAATCAGGGGCCCGACATTGTGTCCTGCAGAAGGGCACTTTAAACGAATTTTCCTCACTTCACCCAGGTAGAAATAAGTACCCGGTTATAAACAAAAAAATATCTTGCAATTTAGTTTGTGTTTGAATGTGTGAAATCTGCAGCTTGCATTGTATGCTTCCTGGGAATCTGAGAACTTTTCTTAGTCTTCTGGGATAATACTAGTTGTACAGGGCATAGAGCACCCTGTTGAGGGTGGATATGCGCTATGTAAATGTAACTGCTTATATTGTTGATGCGTATTTTCTTTAAGATAACTCGTCTCTTCTGAAGAGACTTGAAGGTTTTCGTGAGCCTCTTCTAGACATAACATGGTGGAGTTGTTAATTTATTGTCTCCATTGTTCCTCACACAAACAAGAGAGTCTTTGGTGTAGGGGTTAGGAACTTCGCCATAGCGCGCAGAAGACCAGACTTGGATTCTCGTAAGGTGAGAATTTTTATCGAACATCTCGGTCTTTCTGCTGGGGTGTTGTATCCCTCTCAGTCGGGGGTTTGATTTTGATAGGCAGGTTCGAAGCCTCCCTTCTAAGTTATCTAAATTGAATCCCTGGAAGCGTAAAAACACCTACATAACTTGTTGGTATGTTTGTTTGTTTTTAGTTAAGACCAGTTTGCCAAGAAAAGTTGCATGTTCTGGGGTGGTAATTCATGAATCCGTCCAGCCCAGTGCATTTATCATCAGTTTTTAGTTTAAGTAAGAGTTTTACGGCACTTACTACAAGAATAGTTCATATAAGTGCCGAACAGTAGAGGTATTACAAGGGGCTAATATACAAAGAAAAGAAGGAGGGAAGATAAAGAATATAGTTGTCTGATGGGAAAGAAAGAGCAAACAACACAACAGCACCCGCCACCCGCCCGCCATTTTTCATTATAATCAAGCAACAGACAATACGCTAGTAGCACAAACGTTTAGGGTGCAGGAAGTTTTCACTGGAGTCTCTGGTGTAATGGTAAGATTTTCTGCCGTTGCCATCCAAACGATTTGAGTTCGATTCCCAGACAGGGTCGTAGCAGTTCTGAACCGTGTTCATCGTAGTATAAAATAGGAAGAGACATGTAGTAGGCATTATCCCAAGCTGCCTCACTCTCTCTCTATTTTTTCATAGACTTCTTTCTCGGGAGATTTTAGGCACTGTGATAATAATAAAACAGCTGTACGTTCTATTTGAGGACTTTGATGCCCCACCAGCTTTCGTTGTTCTCCTCTAAATTCATAATGATAGAGAAAGATGTGCCTAGAGGGATTTGAGTTCATGTTTGTTTCCTACCTGGATACGAGCAAAGGAGATCTATATTTTGCGTCAAATTTGTAACTACCTTACGAAAACCGTACAATGGTATTCATACATTGATTCTAAGAGTTTCTGTAATTTTAAACAGAGCAAAAAAACTCGCATTTCAGACATCAGTAGAAGGTTTATTTTTATTAAGAAAAACAGTATTCGTAAAAAAAAATTTTTTTAAGTGAAGTATGTTGGAATGTATATTATTTTGTTACAAAAGTAACACACGACAAAAGAAAAAAAATTCCAACAATGGGAAAAGCAATAGTCAAAGATTACCATTCAAGGACAATGTGAAATAAAACAAACAGAATCAACTTCAGGACACTAATAACCAACAGAATGAAAGGAAAACAGAATAATACAAATAAAACGGTGCAAATTAAAGAGGTACAGGGTGAGAATGGCAGTTAAGTGCATAATTATCTTGAACATTAATTGCTGAGACTCATTTTTAAAACTTTGTTTAAAAAACTCTAATGGCTGACCAGTTGGCTAATTGCAGTTCTGATAAATGTTGAAAAAGAAATTCTTTTGGAGTAGCCACTGTTACGAGAAAGTTATAATCAACATTTGAATAACATAATGGTGAAAAGTCTTAAAACATTCAATAACAGTAAAACTCCCGCACCAAGTATAGACGTACGGAGTGTTCAAAAAACAATAAATAATAAATATATATATCTGTATACGTGCAGAACTTACGGCTGTGCTCATTGTATAGCTAAAACTGCAGGGGAAAACACAGTATTAAACAAAATCATACCCCCCCCCCCCCTTCTAAAATCAACAAATTATAGTTGAGTTTTCCTCGCTATCTGATGTCTTAATAATTTTTTGTCGAAACGCAATATTATGTCAATAATTGAAATAATAATAATATGATCTTTTACTCCGTGCGTTGCGAAGAAGATATCGCCCTTGAAGGAGTTGCATAATTTCTTTTTATTTCTTTTTTTTTAAATTTCTTTTTCTTTTATTTTCCTAATTGGAAAAAATAATGGTTTGGCAAGCTTATAGTGCTTCTTTTACCACAATAAGTTTATTTAATGCCCCCATCTTTGATATGATCCCTCTTTGGTTTCCTCTGTGTTTGGCACATGGGAGGGTTTGAGGTACTGGTAGTAGCTGTTGGCGGGGCGGTAGACGGGCTTGTAGACGGTTGTCACCTGAGGTAAGATAAGATGAGATAAGATAAGATGAGATGGTGATGAGTAAAGATAAGATAAGATAAGATAAGATAAAACAAGTCAAGATACGATTACACAACATAACGTAACGTATGATAACATACGACAAGATAAGAATTTTAGTATAAGTTTCAGTTTGAATTGAGTAACGAGAATCACATTGACACAATAATGATCATTTATTAGTGTTGGGAAAAAGAAAGACAGATACACAGAGACACTGAGTTAAATAAAGTAAAGAAGTTGGACCTTCCAGTGCCACCCTCCATCCAATCGCCAAGTATATCGTTTATATCGTAAAGATATTATAATAAAATTTTACCAAGCGGCAGACGTCAGAGATACCATATTATTTAGCCTCTCTGTGTTTGTTTGAGGAAAGAGAAGTTCATCAACGCAATCATGGACATAATTTCGAGCTGCGAAAAAGTAAGACAGACGGACAGACAGACAGACAGACAGACAGACAGACAGACAGACAGACAGACAGACAGACGGATAGAAACAACAGAGGGAAAGTAGAGAAGTTGGGCCTACCAGTGGCACCCTCCAAATATACGCAATATATTTGAAGCTAAATACCTAATCACTATTCTGATAGCAATCCAATGATATTGTGACAGTGAACTCTTTAAAGGTCAAAGAAATGAAAGTCGATTGAGGAGTAGTGCCAGGTTCTGTGGTGCAGCGGTTAGATGCTTCACTGTCGCACGTATTGGGAGGGGGAGGAGAGGGGGGGAGTTTGATTCCCGAGTGGGAAAATTTTTTTATAGAGAGTCTCGGTCTTTCTGCATGGATGTTGTGGTCGCTTTTAAGGACAAGCTGGCTAACCCAGATTTCGGGGTTTTCCAGAAATCTTGACCTACACCAAAAGTGGGCCTTGCGCTACCTATAGAAGAAGTTTGGTTTCATTGGTGTGTATATTTGTTTGGTTATAGAGAAAACTCTTTGAAAGAAAGTGAACACGGGGCAAGAACGTTACCTTCGATTTTCTCAAAAGAACATTTTTCGGGATAGCTCCTTTGTGCTTAAAAGCGACCTTGTATCCTTTTCAGCCCTGGTCGGCCCTGAAGGGTCGGAAGCTTGCCCCCTTTTTAAAGAAACGATCTAAATTGTGTCGATGAGAGCGTAAAACACCTAATATTTAGAAAACAAAAAAGTTGGTATGATACCTGGACTCCACTGACGGGTTCTTCATAACGCTTCTGGCTGTCGTAGTTGTTGTAGGGCCTGTGTTGCACCTTCTCGCCAGAGTTGTAGTAGTAATAACGGTCTTGCTCAGCCTTGGCCTCGCCTTTGTAGTATTTCTCGCTGCTACCGTAATGTTGGTACTCGGGTTGCTGGTATTCGGGTTGCTGGTACTCGGGTTGATGGTACTCGGGTTGCTGGTATTCGGGTTGCTGGTACTCGGGTTGATGGTATTCGGGTTGCTGGTACTCGGGTTGATGGTACTCGGGTTGATGGTATTCGGGTTGGTGGTATTCGGGTTGGTGGTATTCGGGTTGGTGGTACTCGGGTTGGTGGTACTCGGGTTGTTGGTATTCGGGTTGCTGGTATTCGGGCTGCTCGTGGTGGTACACGGGAGTGGGACGATACACGGGTTTGCTGGGGTATTGTACCTGGTGGTAGCTGGGGGTGGAAGGATATTGGCTCTGGCTGGGGTAGTATTCTTGTTTTCCCCAGTATACGGGCTTGTGTTCGGGCTGCTTGTAGTGGCCGTTACCGTAATCGTAATTTCCGGTGGCGTAGTGGCCGGTATGGACCTTGTCGTCATGCCCGTACTTGTTGTCAGAATCGTAGTCGACAGAGAAGTCTGGGACCTGGGCCTCGGGTACTGGCTCCTTCACGACGCCGTAGTGGGGGTCATAGGTCACCTTGACCACTGGCTTCTTGTCACATGGCACGTTGTAGGAGTGGTCACAGGTGAGCAGGGTCTGGGACCAGCGGGTTCCTGCCGGGCAGTTGAAGAGATAACCTTTGCCCCAGGAACATCTGTAGAACTTGGTGCAGTCGTTGGCGTCAGGGTAGAAGTTGAAGAGGGTGGGGCATGTGAAGGTGGCTGGGGGGAGGAGGGAGGGGAGAGGAGGGAGTAAAAGGGGTAGTAGGGTTGTGGGGTTGAGTCAGGGGTTTTAGTTTTAACAAGATGTATTTTTGTTGTGGTTGTTTTGTTGTGGTTATTTTCTTGTAGATGTTTTTGGTCAGTGTTTTATGGCGCTATCAAGTGCATGATGTCATGTGCACGCGTAACAAGAGTTTTACGACATTTGCTGCCGAAGGTTAGAGGTGTTACAAGAGAGGGGGTTGTGTAGGGTTGTGGGGTGAGTCAGGGTGTTTTGCTTTAGAAAGAGTTTTACAGCAACATAAATATATCATATGAGTGTCGAAGATTACAGGTGTTACCAGAGAGCAACACACAAACGAATGGCGCTCATATGACTTTTTGCAGTTGCGAGCGCCGTAAAACCTCTACTAAAACTAAAACACAAAAGAAAGAAGGAGGACAGATGAGGATGATATATTATGATCGATGGCAAGGGATTGTGGAGGTTGGAAGGTCAGTCAGGGTAGGAGGAGGAAATAAGGCAGGAGGTCGGTGTGGAAGTTGTGAATTAAGTAATGAGTTGGTGACGAGGAGGGTTATAAGGTGAGTCCAGGGGTGTTGAAGGAAAGGCATTCGTGCAAAGTGCCTGGCAGACAGATATAAATACACACCAACACACACACACACACACACACACACACACACACACACACACACACACACATGCACACTCACACAAGCACACACCTGCACACACACACACAAACACACACACACACACACACACATGCACACACACACACACGCACACACACACATGCACACACACACACACACACACACACACACACACACACACACACAAACACATACACACTAACACAAACACAGGGAAAATACAAGAAAATCAACAGTTGTTCGCTACTCACCCAATGAAAGACCGAAATAGGCCGTCAGACCTGGAAAAAGATATGAGGATAAAAAAACGATTTTATGCATTTGTACATTATTTTAATACTTTCTCTCATCAAGGATGGTAAGATGGAATTGGGAAAGGTGAATGGACTAGTGGGCTTTCTGCGTGTTTCTCGACGGTTTCATCGTGGGTCAGAATAAACAAGAGTTAAATACAACATAACCATGCAACAGGCGATACAACAAAGAAAAGAAAGACGTTTCCTTCTATCATCTGCACCGCAAGGTAGTTTTGTTTGTTTCTTTGTTGTTGGTTGTTGGATATGTGGTTTTTGTTCGTCTGTTTGTTTGTTTGTTTGTATCAAAATCTGGGCAATTAAGATATATCTTGTCTTATCTTATCTTATCTTATCCTGTCTTATCATATCTTATCTTGTCTTATCTTATCTTATCTTATTGGGTTTTTTGTATTTCGACACAATAATGGTCATTTTGTGCTGAGGGAAAAGTAAGGCAGATTGACAGAAACAACAAAGGGAAAGTGGAGAAGTAGGACCTACTAGGGAAAGAAAAAAGTAAAACAGACAGACAAACAGAGAAACAGACAAACAAACAGACAGACAGATAAACAGAAACAAATGTTGGAAAGCAAAGATGTGGGACCAACTAGTGAGGGAAAGAAAGTAAGGCAGACAGACCAACACACCGAAACAACAGTGGGGAAGCACAGAAGTAGGAACTACCAGTGACTCCTTCCAACCACCCTCACCACAGACAGCAGAAGTCAGAAAAAAGTACAAGTAAATAAAGTAAACCCCTGTCGTTTTGCTATAATGTACTACCCCATAGAGCGCAGTATTGGTTTACTAAACCTGGTGAGCTGAGTCAAGAGACCCTGGTCTCAGAACCGAGTCAATGTTGTGTTGATACTAGCGTTAAAAAGACAACATGATCTATTAATTAAATGACGATGGTGCGGCAGTTGGTGTTTTTTGCGTCTGTTTCCGATAGAGAAAACGATACTCAATGAACTAGGTCAAGGTGGAGTGTTCAGGTCATGATAATCTATAGAAGAACTCAAGCAGAAGAGGAGCGCGCACCGCATTCCCGGCAACATTGGGCGCTCTAAGAGTCAGTGCCTTCCTATTTACTTTTGATCGTGTGTAGGATAAATTTCATGTGCGTGCTTTTGTTTTATTTATTGTTTTGTAGTTGTTGTTGTTGGTGTTCTTTGTATTTAGGGTTCTTTGGGGTAGATTTTCTTAACGGCCCATTTGACACTATTTAGATCATTTAGTTGATTTGTTGATTACAGAGAACAAGCAGAATAACGTCCAGCTTTCGCAGGAACTAATCTTACAAGCCTGAACCCGTTCTGAGAGTGAGTTTTAAGGTCTAAAATTGCTAAATCGACAGCGTGTAAAATTCTATAATATCTTGAAGACAAGACTTGGTTGTGATGATACTGTGTTGTATTCATTGAGATTCTTGGGCCAGGTAAAAATATCTCAAATAGATTAGAGAAACTGCTGCTGTAGGGAAAGGTACAGAGAAAGAGGTGCAGAGTAAGACAAAGAACAGCATACACAGAAGGCTTAACAACTCTGCAACGAATAACACAGAGCGAAAGCCCAAGCTTATCAAGAAGACAGACAAGAGCAAGGAATGGGCTACCATGATCGTCAATGTCTGCTCCAGACCTGACACCTGAAGAATAAGAAGAATACTAACCTAAGGATTCGTATATCTATATGCACCATTATAGAACGGTGTCCCCCAAAGAAGGTCAATGAAGTGGAATTTATTTTACATTTTTCTGTATTATGGAAACACTTTT